GCATTTGCTGTAGAAATCAAGGCATTGATTTGCTAGTCAGCATCTGGAAGTTTCTGATTTTTCAGGGTTTTTTTTTTGTGGTTTGAAAAAAAAAAGTTTAAAAGCAAATTGCTGTCTCTTTCTACAGTAGCATGGCTTATAGCTATATTACATTATTTGTCTGATCCTACATTTTGCAGCGAGTCAGATTTAAGAAAAGAATTATAAAACAGAAAACGAATAAAGGAGAGAATCTTAATGTTTGCATAAATGTTGCCCTAATTTATTGCTTCTCTGCTCCTGCATGTGGCATGAGGTGTTTTTCTGGAGAGAGTTTGTTTTTAATCATTTATTATATGCTTGATTATGTTAATGAAGAGCAAGAAAGTGGATATACTTTTTTTCCTTTTTTCTTTTCCTACCTCGCTATGATGAAGTTTACTGTCTGGCACAATGATCATTCAATTTTCAGAAATGTTCACCACCCTCTGCTGCTGATTAAATTCTTGCTTCGTTTCTCTGCCAAATCTGTTGGATTAAATTAACAAGATCTGTTTGCTTTAGTGAGAATGACCTGCACCAACCATCAGCTTGCACAAAATAACAATCTTTTCGGTGATTTATTGATTCAGTGCTCTTTATCTTCCCTTAAAGAAATGTACATTAGGAATGTTTGCATTTAGCTTGCTTGAGTTTGCAGACACATTGCTCCTTTCAATACAGTGAAGACTCTGGCCCTCCATAGCTAGCTGCTCTGCACTCTTGGCTGTTAACACTACCTCTTCAAAAAATTCACTAAAGCATCACTTAATCCTTACCTCTACAAAAGTCCCACTCCTGAAAATTATCCATATCAAAGGTCCAATCTGAGAACATTAAAACCTCTCTCTCTTTCTTCATTTTTACTGAATTGCTTTCCACCCTCCCTCTTAATTCATTTGTTTTGTTGCTGCCAACCAAGGAGTAAAGAAGTCAGTTTTTTTTAAGCTATACACAGTGTAGAATGTTCAATATTTAATTTTATCTCTCATGTTATTGAAGGCAATTGTACAAACACCCGGGTGAGGTAACTATTTCTGGGCTTGGTGAAAATTTGAGCACAAAATGTACTCTTTAGATCTATATCGATCTGCTATTCTGCTCTCCTTATTATATATAGGTGCTACTTTCCAATCACTTCAATGGGGTTTGGATCCAGTCCAAGAAAAGCACAGTATTTGAGATCTGCTATGCAAAATATTGCCATTAATGTAAACTTCATTTCAACTGCATTGCAGGGGATCAAGAAGAAGGATCCTTTAAAATCCTGGAAACTGAGAAACTGCAGTATGTGCAACTAAAAACAGAAAGCTACAGCTAAGGTTCTGCTGCTGTTAGTTGACTTACCCCATATGTACTGAGGATTTACTTGAGGTACATGTCTATGATACTGTTTCTATTGCACTGTCCCAGCTGATAGGCATCATTTATTAGATTTATCTATATGTGCAAATTCTTGTTTCTGTTTTAGTTTTCTAAAAATCCTGCTCAAGTGAAATATATTTATTGATGGTTCAGATCTTAAGTCCCTGATATTGTTACCCATAGTGTGGTATTGTGATAGGGTGGATGAACAGCCCAGTATGTGTTTGTGTTGAATAGTGGTCTAGTACTGACAACTGTGTGTTTAATCACCATTAAAGTACCTGAACTATAGGATATGTAGAAATAGGATAGAATAGAACCTGTTCCCCTCCACAGCTACCCAATCAATGCTTTGGAGGATAGAGTCAAAATCCAGAATTATATGGACAAACTGGAGAAATGGTCTGAGGTAAATATTAATAAGGACAAATTCAAAGTGCTCCACTTAGGAAGGAACAATCAGTTTAACACATACAGAATGGGAAGCGACTGTCTAGGAAGGAATACTGCAGAAAGGAATCTAGGGGTCACAGTGGACCACAAGCTAAATATGAGTCAATAGTCTGACATTGTTGCAAAACATCCAAACATGATTCTGGGATGCATTAACAGGAATGTTATGAGTAAAACACAAGAAGTCATTTTTCTGCTCTACTCTGTGCTGATTAGGCCTCAACTGGAATACTGTATCCAGTTCTGGGCACCATATTTCAGGAGAGATGTGAAGAAACTGGAGATGGGCCAGAGAAGAGCAACAGAAATGATTATAGGTCTAGAAAACATGACCCATGAAGGAAGACTGAAAGAACTGGGCTTGTTTAGTTTAGAAAAGAGAAGACTGAGAGGGGACATGATAGCAGTTTTCAAGTATCTAAAAGGGTGTTACAAGGAGGATGGAGAAAAATTGTTTTCCTTGACCTTTGAGAATAGGACAAGAAGCAATGGGCTTAAATTGCAGCAAGGGAGGTTTAGGTTGGAGATTAGGAAAAACTGCAGTGTGAAATAGCCACTCTTCATTGGCAAGGGGGCATGGACCTGCTGCCTTTGTCTATCCTGGCTGCCTCTCTGCAGCCCAAGTAGCCTTGGACCTTGCTTCAGACCCTTCCTTAGACCTGCCCTAAGACAGGAAGTCTTCAGCTTCCCTGGCAGCTAGGACCCTCCTGCTCCACAGCAAGAGTGAGTCTGTCTCCACTCCTCCAGGAGCCTTTATTTATACTGCCCTCACCTGGGCCATACTGGCCATAGCTAATCACTGCATAGCACCAGCCCTTTCCCAGGCTGGGTTTTAACCCCGTAAAGGGCCAGCGTGGGGCAGATGCCCCATCACACACCACTCTGGGTGCCGGGAGGTTTCATAGTCTGCACCAGTCGCTGGTGCCCATCTGTAGCCCCTTGCTTCTCCATTTCTCTCAATTTCTCATGAAAGCGGTTGTTCTCCACCATCACTTCCCCGTACATCCAGGCCGTGTCCACATGGTAGGCCTCTGCCATGTTCTGGGCCTTCTCCACTGCCGCCAGCTACACACGCAGGTCAGAGTCTTCTGGAAGCTCCATCCTCACAGTGAGTCCATACTGTGATCTGGTCCACTTCAGTCTGCCTCTTCTTTTCTGATTGGGCCCTCTCTGTCTCAGACAATTTATCAGTCACCTCCCTAGGGTGGCTCCCAGGCATGTCAATTACTGCCACCACTGCAGCATCGACTGTCTCTGTCTGACCTCTCTGGGTCCCTAGGCATCTCTGATCCTTGTCTCTTCTGCAGACGGTTCATCTTAATATGGCCCCACTTCAGGCAGAAACTGGCCCCTTGCCTCTTCCTTGCCTTAGGCCTTACTCTGTTCCTCTCTGGTTCAGACCCCACCCTCGGGCTAACTTTGACCCCATTACCTGGGTCCTGGCAGTTCCTCTGTAGGAACCTGGGTCCTGGCAGTTCCATTTCACGAGGAGTAACGGTGGTTCGGACTAGGAAGCCTAGTCCAAACTACCTAGTTTGTGCCGCGTGTAGCCGTGCGGCACGGAGTCCGCACTAGCGGACATTTAAAAATGGCGGCGCCCGGCTTTATGCAAATGAAGCCCGGGAAATTCAAATCCCAGGCTTCATTTGCAACTCCGGTTGCCTACATTACCACCCTAGTTCGAACTGTGATTCCTGAATTCTCTCCTTAGGAATTTCAACAGGGCTTGTTGTTCCTCCACTAGCTCCCCCCAACCATTCCTGTGGGGTCCACTGTGCCTCCCAGAGTTCCTCTTTAGTTTCTTGGGTCCTTTGTAGCAGGGATGCAACCTTGTCCCCATAGTTCTTCAGCCCTCTTCTTCTGGGGCACTGATGCTGGGGTCTAACCAGAGAGATCACCAGGTGCCTCTGCAAAGAAGACCTCTGCATACCTGGGATCCTTTGTCCCTTCCTCTCCCCTCACTTACTCAGTCTTTACATGGTACAGTTCACTCAGTCTGTACCAGTCCCCTTGCATCAGGGGTGGACTGCCCACATTCTCCACCATATGTAACAGGACAAGCACTCAGTGTCACAGGTGCCTCCTACTGGCCACTCAAGCATTAGCTCTTTGGTGCTGGAGTACCCCCTTGTGGATGGTGCTATACCTGCTGTTACCTATTTTGCTTCATCTTTCCTGGGCTGGGTTTTAACCACTTAAAGGGCTAGTAATGTGCAGAACCCCATCATAGGAGACATAGATTTACCATATACTAAACTTTAGCAATCAAGGATAGCAAGCTGATTGAAGACACTCCCTGGAGCATAGTTATCTATCATCCAAAGTCCCACAAAATTGAGTTTACAGCTTGAGCTTCCACCTGTCTTTTCCTGAATGGCAGTACAAAAGCACCAGAGCTCTTCACATAGACTCTGTCTGAAAGTCAACTTTTAATTTAGACAACATCCAGGTATCCAGACAAAAATTACAGGATAATCAGTGGTGTATTTACACTTCACTGAAGTACAGACTGTGCTTGTTGGTCTGGGATCAACGGTCCGACAGCATGCGCGGAGAACACTTTTGTCACTCTGTCTGGTGTGGCTCACAACCGAGAGTGCTAACCTCAGGCAGACTGTCAAAAGCAGGGCAGATACCACAGATGGGTTGTATGCTCTTTAATTAAAGTTCACAAACCCAGTGACAAATGTAAACTCCTAGATCACTGTAACAGTCTGACCATGGAGCTATTTTTGGATCTGGCCTTCTAACACTCCTGTCATCTGAAGAAGTGGTTTGTGCCCATGAAAGCTCATGATACCATCTACATGTTTTGTTAGTCTTTAAGGTGCCACTAGACTATTTGTTGTTTTTTAAGTTTTTCATAGTGTCATAGACTGTCCTCTTGGGTTCTCCAGGCAAGCTGGACTCAGTGAAAAAAGATATTGTGTCCTACTACTAGACAAAAGTGTTCTGCCTCAATGATATGGTTACAATTGACAATCTTGCAGTAATATGTGATATTTGGCTAGATTGGCTGTACTAGACATGATCCATACCTACACCTTGTATTGGACTGTTTTAAAACTCTGTTATTTAATCACATGCATAACTCTGCCATAGAGTCTGTGTCAAGAAAAATAATATAATCTCTAGAAACTCCGGGAAGGGAGGTGTCAGGCGATGGGTATGAGGGTAGTCTAGCTTCATGGCCAGAGTGGGCAACAGGCCTACTGGCTGGAGTCAAAGCCAAGGGACAAATGGGAAGGCAAAACTGGGTATGACAGCCATGAAATTGGTAGGGCCCTATACAAATATAGCACTAGACTCACATTGTTCTATCTTTGTATGCCTCCATCTGAAAATAAGCAGTTTCTCCAGAACAAATAAACTGAGGGCTATTCAAGCGCAAAAGGTGAACCAGAAAATAGAACAGTGATCTCTCTGGTTAGACCCCAGCATCAGTGCCCCAGAAGAAGAGGGCTGAAGAACAGAAGCTTCATGTACATCATATTAAAGAAACACAGAACATGTTGACCAAGGCAAAACCAGGCTCATAGTTTCTAATGGAGACTTTGTGGAAGGGCAGCAAGTAGCACAGGGAATTGTCAGATCAGGCTTCTGGCCAAAGTAGAGAAGTTGCATCCCTGGGGAAGCTGCAGGGATTTTGTGGAGAGAATGGACTCAATGGTAGGAGTAGGGAAATGTCAGGGATTGTGTGTGGGGACAGAACTGGATTGTGCAGCACAAATGCTGAAACTCTGGGTGCTAAATGAACAGTCCTTCATTATTTTGTGCTTGATTTTTGTCCTCTTATCTCTGCTTGTAGTTTTCTACAATATTTTTATTGTATAGAATCAGTTTCACCTTTCAGAATATATTTATTCAAATAACAACAATGTAACTTTCATAAATTCTTTTCTAGCTGTAGCTCTCCAAGCACTTAACAATCAAGGTGAGCATTGTTATTTCTGTTTGAAAGGTGGGAAAACTTAAAAAAAAAAAAAAAAAAAAACCCAACCCCCGCTTATTTTTGTCCTTGACTTCTGGCTACATCTATTTTTTCCTTTTGTTTTCAGGTGGAAATATTTTAAAGTCCACTCCTTTGATCCTGTTGTAGCATTAAACCATTTCCAAGCAGTTTCAGTAGATTGGGTTCTTCAGCTTATTCCTCTTATCCTGCTCCTGAAAATCCCTTTAATGTGAAACTTAAAGAAAAAATCGTTGCAATACACTTAAAGTGAAAGACAAGATGGGTTGTCACAGCCTTAAAATATCCACCTGATGAGGTGGAGACACTGATGAAGGACAGCATTCACTGCTAAAGACAGAGGGGGCAGCCAGCTATTACTTTGATACTATTGTTTTTGTGTTATCATAGTCTGAAAGCTCTGATAAGAGCCAGAGTGCCTGTCTGAACTGTACCTTAGTGCTTGTTATATTGATTGCTGGACCTCAAACCAGCCTTCCTATGAAATGGCCATTCATCACTTCGGAGTAAACTAACATATCCCTAGCTGCAGCTCTATGCCTGATGTGTGGTAAGGGTCTTTTTTAGATAAAGAAACAATGTGTAAGATGAAACTAGAAGTAAGAGCTGTGATTTATATTTTGGCTTTTCTTTGTGCGAGAGATTCAATACATGATATCTAGAGGTCATCTTGTTCACTATCTACTCGGTGTCGATTGTGCTTCCCAGACTACATTGAAACAAACTCCCCTGCAAATCCACTCAGCTAGTTTATTCCTCTATAGACAAGGAGAAAAGTTGCCATTGTTACATTTTTGTGAATTAGTGTGATAAGTACTTTAGCTGCATTGGTCCCAGGTCAGAAGGAGAACTCTGTGCAGCTCAACAGCTTGTCTCTTCCACCAGAAAAAAATTATCATATAAAAGACATTCCCTTACTCACCTTGTCTGTTTGATAGAAAAAAGAATCTCTCTTACCCCTTAACTAAAATTGTGCAAAATGCAAAGGCTGTGTGTTGTGTCTCTGTTTCAAATCTCACTGAAAATGCACTCACTATTACAGAGGCAGCAGCAAGGAGTGACAGGGGGCTCCTTGAAAGTGGGGCCAGAGCACACTGGCTGCTGGCCTCACCCCCCAGGTACTATAGTCGACTAACTGATAAGAATTCATGGGGTTATTTGACTATTCAATTAACCGATATTTAACATCCCTAGTCTACACTGCATCTTTAGCTTGAAATTAGCTATGCAATTTGAGCTACACAAATTGCATAGCATATTTCAAGTTAATTTTGAAATAGGGGGCTATTCCAAAACATCCCATTATCCTTGTGGAATGAGGCTTACAGGGATGCTGGAAGAGTGCGCTCATTATTTCAAAAGCAACTGGCACACTTTCAAGATGCAGAAAATGCTATTTTGGGATATTTCTGGTATCCCAAAATAGCACCGCTGTCTAGAGACACCCATATTAAAAACAAACAAAAAAGTAATTTCTCCGGTGGTTTCGATATGAAAATGTTTCCTCACAATATTGCATCATTTTCAATGCACTAAGGAAAACCTTTCTCAGGAAGAAGCAAATGTTTAGGGATCTGTAGTCCATCTCAAGAGAGAAGGGCATAAGCACTGAGGCTATGTCTACACAACAGAGTTTTCAGCTGTTTTTCCGCAAAACAGCTGTTTTTCTGCAAAACAGTTGTTTTTCCACAAAAACTCGCAGAATGTACATACCTCAAGCACATTTTTGTGCAAGTAAATCAATAGGTCAGAGGGGTTTTTGCGCAATTTGTAATTCTTATTCTACGAGGAAGAACACCTTTTTGCACAAGAGCTCTTGCGCAAAAAGGCGTGTGTGAACGGGGAAGAGAGTTTTTTTTGTGCAAGAAGAGGGAAGAGCAAAAAGCACAGGTGCCCTGGTGGCTATTCTGTCCATAACAATCACTGATTCCATGCAAGAGAGCATCCAGGCAGTCTGGACACTCTCTTGAGCAAAAGTGATTGCTTTTTCGATGTATTTTTGCAGTGTGGATGCTCTCTTATGCACGAAGTTTTTGTGGAACATCTCTTCCGAAAAAAGCTTCTTGCACCAGAAGCCTGCAGTCTAGACGTAGCCTGAAGCAGCTCAGTTACCATGTATTGTGCACCAACATTGCGAAGTGACTAAAAAGTCTAATTCTTGGAGCAACAGTCATTTGCCACAGATCATAGGCGAGTTGGGCCTGCAGGGGTGGGGGTGCAGAGAGGGCCACCCAGAGGTACATGAAAGAGCCCATTTAGCAATTAAAAGTTGGGGGGGCACAGGAGTGGGGTGCACATCCTTAGTGCTATGATGACTCACCTGTGCCACAGATAATGTAGACATAAGATGCAGGGGCAGAGGATGAAGCCTGTGCATCATTAGGGCTTGAGGCCTTCAGTGTTTTCTCTTTGTTCTCTTCACTTCCCACTCTTCAGCTCTTTGGCTTCCTGGCACAATGAAGCATTCCAGTGTGACTTGCTGCTACTGAATGTTTTCACATCCCTCTTGCAAACATCCTTGCAAACAGGGGCAGATGATAGTTTTGCGGGGCCCCGGGCAGCATAATTTCGCGGGGCCCCCCCCTTTGCCACGGCGCATGCGCGGGGCTTTTTGCAGCGCGGGGCCCGGGGCGCCCTGCCCTATATCTGCCCCTGCTTGCAAAGTCTGTCCAATGACTTTGCTGCATCCACATATTCTCTGTACAGAAGACACCTTGCAATATCAGTGTAGATGACCACACCAACATAGACCTTGCTGTTTTGCTTTCTCAATTTTCCTTTTGATAGCAGGGACTTTGTTGTATTTTAAAGATGAAATGGGAATCCAAGCAAGTGGATATGGAAACTCTTTAGTTTTCTCTTGCCTGCTGTGGGTGGTCCACTCTTGTTACCATACAGCAACATGCTCATTACACACATCTGGTAGACCTATTGGTTGGTGTTCAATGTTAGTTTCATTATCTCAAAGGCACTTGGTCATTTGGCCAACTGGTAGCTACTTTTCTGATGAGAGAATTAACTTACCTTATAGATAGAAGTTGTGCACAAATTCTGCTAGCATGGTGCTAGCTATTAAAACTATTGGTACAATCAGCAAACCTTCTGCCGTAATCAAGGACTTGTTTTGGCTGACTGCTAATCTAAATTGATCACAAGCTCAAACAAAGCTATTGCAAAATTGTTGGAACTCCTCTTTCTTGTATGCAATGAGCACTGTGTCATTGACAAAAACAAGTTATCTGATCAGCAGGTATTTGCATTTGCCTTTTGCTTGTAGAGGTGCAATTTTGAAAAATTCCATCTGACCTTGGAGGTTACATCCTTGGTGCTAGATGAGAGAGCTTGATGAAACAGCACAGAGAAAAATATGCTGAATGGCATCGTGTCACTAAACCACTGTATGACTCCACCATGGATTTCAAAGCTGTCAGACTGATCACAAGCATTCTGGACTGTAGCTACCTTGCAAATCATGGAAGGATCAAATCAAACTGAGAAGAATTGGGAGGGAAATCAGTTCTCTCAAGCAATTAGAAAAGGCCTTTTCATCAGATCAGGTCAAAAAACCTTTGTAAAATTATGACGGTCCCATCGAGGTTTTCCCTGTTTCCTTGACACTTTTCTTGCAGTTGCCTTAATGCAAAGATCTTAGTGATAGCTGATCTACTAGAATGGGAGCTGAACTGATTTCCTGGGGATACATGTTCAGTAAGAATTTGCCTGTCCCTCTTAAAGTTCTGTTTTCAAGGATGTTTGTGTTTTCCAGCACTGATCAAGCTAGAATGACTGAGCACATTTCTATGCCATTTGTTGCAATGCACTCTTGGACACTCCAAGGTTGGTATGTCTGAAGAGAGATAATAACAAAGTCAAATTTTTAAAATGTTAAGGTTTTTCAAAAACGGATGCCCAACATTAGCTTCTTAACAACAAGTGCTAAACCTCCAGAAGCTCCTGCTAAGTTAAGCACTTGTGAAAATCGGTCACTTAGCCTTAAATCCATAATTTGGCACCTAATTATTTTAAGTCTCTTTTTATTTCTGGCTACAATTTTTACATATTTCTCACACCTCTATCTCAAAGACACCTCGCATTGCTGGTTTATCATCACTATGCAGCACTTGCAAGCATGAGGTTCCACACTGTCATGGGACATGCACCTGTTAGCAGTATCACATAGCTCCAATCATCCATGCAAAGAAACAATTTTATATGCAGGTTCTGGAATTCACTGGGGATTCTGTTTAGAATGATTTGGATTTTTCAAGGAATGAGATAGCACTGACTCTGTAAGGTTATGAAAATCTGGCCTCTTGTCACTAATTATTCCAGCAAGAAAAGGAGGGTGAGACAGGGATTGTGTTTTACCTCATTTACTATGGGTTTCTACAACCCCTTAGTATGGGGGGACCTTGATCCAGCCTGGGACTTCTAGACACAATACTGATGAATAATACCAGAAATCAGTGATTTTACATGGTCTTATACATATTCTTTTTTTAAAATCACTTAAAAAAGTATGATCAACTTCTTTAGAGAGGAATCTTACTGTCAGAATTACCAACAGACATCCTCTCACCTCTATAGGCATCCACATGGTGCTAGAGTGTGAGGAATTACAGCTTACTGTAAAAAAGATTGATTGAATTCAATTTGGTTGTATTCCCATATTGAAAGGCAGCAGATCAATTATTTTTGTTCAGATGTTCTGATGTGGTCACCTCATCTCAAAAAAGATACCCTACCATTGGAAAAAGTTCAGAAAAGGACAACAAAAATGAGTGGGGTATGGAATGTTTGCCATCTGAGGAGAGATTAATAAAACTTGGACTTTCATCTTATAGCTTAGAAAAGAGATGGCATGGGGGAGGAGGGAACATGATATAGGGCTATAAAATCATGACTAGTATGGAAAAAGTGAACAAAGAAGAGTTATTTAACACAAGATCTAGAGGACACCAAATGAAATTCATAGGTGGCAGGCTTAAATAAACTAAAGAAAGTATTTTTTCACATAACTCAGGGTCATCTTGTGGTACTCCTTGCCAGAGGATGTTGTGAAGTCTAAAACTATAACAGCAGTGAAAAAAACCCAGCTAGATAAATTAATGGAGGGTAGGTCCATCAATGGCTATTTTCCAGGATGGGTAGGAATGGTGTCCCAGGCTTCTGTTTGTCAGAAGCTGAGAATGGGCAACAGGGTGGGGTTGCTTGATGAATACATCTGGTCTCTGGAAGAATCCACTTTAATATAGTTCGGGTTTGAATTGTACAAGTCTAAATTATGGCTTGGCCACAAATCCTGAATGTGGGATAACACAGAGTTGTGCTGCTCCAGAAACTGACCAAGAATCAGCTGTGTCCCAGAGAATCACAAAAACTGTTTCTGGCACTTGCACTATGGTGGGAAGTAATCTGCATCAGCTCTGTATTGCACACAGTCCACTTCCCAGCATGCTGATTCAGCATGGAAATGTATGTTCCCTGCTCCCACACTTTCTTCTCCTAGCTAACCAATGCACACTCACCTGTCTGGGTATGTGTGTTGTAATCTTGCAAAAGCTACCAGCACTGCAACCTGTGATATGGGAAGAGAGCATAGCAGACTATGGATTGTTTCATGCCCCCTGACTTCTCTGTGTGGATGTTCAGCAAGGGTCACACTCTGGCTTACTGTATTTCTAGAATTACACCAGTGAACAAAACTAGTCTTACTAACCACTAGAGTTTGAAAATCACGTGTTAAACGTCCCGTCAAAATCAGGAGACTGGCTGAAAAAATCCTAACATTTTAAAAATAAATACTCTTTTTATTCACCTCCTAGTTTTGAGCTTTTAGGACTCACAATTTCAAGCTTTTTGCTGGAGCCACAAGAGCAATACGCTTACTTTACAGAAAAGGAAAGCAGTGAGTTCCATTTAATCACATAAGTCCAGGAGTGGGGTCAACACTGGAAAATAATTGTCTAAAGGATTCCAAACCTGTCCTCCTGGCCAGAAAAAGGGAATCAACCCAGAAATTAAAAAAAAAAAAGGCTAAACTAATCT